ACTCTATGTGAAACTTTTCTTTGAAGACCATCTGGAAGCTGCCACTGGTTCAGAATGAAGTGGTGCAGGTAATTATGGGAACACCATGGTTATGCAAGTACCATCACTTTGTGAACTGCACTAGCTCCTACTAGGCTTCTGGATGCAATTCAAGATGTTAGTTACTACCTATAGAGTTGTTCATGCACAAGGCTAGGTTACTTGTGGGACTACCTATCTCCAATTGTTTGCGTCTGCCTTTGAGATCTGAAGCATACTCCAGGTTCTTTCTATAAAAACGTCATGTGGTTGGATCCAGGATTCTTTTGCATACCCCCTCAAGATTCAGGTGACCTAACACTTCTGGCTTTCTATAAGGCTTTGAAGACCTGGGTTTTCCTCCAGGCAATGGGCCAAGATGCTGGATGAGCACATCTGTAATGGTTGGAATATTGAATGAATGTGGGTTGACCTTGAGTTATATTGTTTTCTTCTATGTTACTTTTATCTTGCTGGCTTTGTCTTTGGTTTTAATCCTATGTTAGCCACCTAGAGTTGCAATTTGCAAGTTGAGTAGCCATATAAATTGACTAAATGAATGAATAAATAAATAGATTGACACTGTCCAAATATATTGTATATGAGGGTTAAAAAGCATATTTTGTTGGCTTGTTTATTCAGCATTGTTATTCAATTATTTAATTGATCTTGGATTGCCATCTAGTGATGACTTACCATATTACAGTAGTTGCTGCAACAGTATATACAATCATGGGAGGCATTCAGGGTGCTGCTTCTCAGATTGCTGGGTGAGAGACCCTGTTTATTAAGTTGGGCACTAAGAGGGATCAGTTGGGACTGTTGTTGTTGTACCTGCTGCATAGCAACCTCCCTGCCTGAGCTTCTTGACTCTATAGCCGGGTTGGTGGTAGAGTTCCCCAAGCTCTTGATTGAGGTCTTGGGAGTTCCCCAAGCTCTTGATTGAGGTCTTGGGAGACCTCAATTTACCTTCTTTGGGCTGGGGTCTGAGGTAGCTTAGGAGTTCATGGCCACCATAACAGCCATGGGCCTTGGAGGGAGTAATAGTTGGCTAGCCCCCTAAAGGCCTGGTGTTGCCGCCTTGAACCATCGGCCTCCTGGATTTTTTTTTTCCTTTTATTTCTGTAAACGTGTACTGGTATAGATTTTAATTGTACATCTATTTATTGTTTTAATATGTTGTGAGCCGCCCAGAGTCCCCCATTGGGGGGAGATGGGTGGGGACAAGTTTAATAAATAAATTGAATAAATAAATACTGAGATTCACCTACAGGGTCGCTGTGAGGAATATGCTGTGCATCTAGCTTTAGGGGAGAACCTGTGGAGGGTATGGGGACTAAGTCCTACATGGTTATCTGGGGAGAGTTCAATCCTGTTGCACCTGAGGAAGTGAACAGGGCTCTTGCAGCTGCTAGTTTGGCCACTTCTGTGTTAGATTTGTGCCCCTCCTGTCTGGTTAAGGCTGCCTAGGAGGGGATGCGTGATTGGGTCTGGGTGGTGGTTAATTCTTCTTTGAGGGAGGAGGTACAGTATTTCCTTTGGCTCTTAAGAAGGCAGTGGTGTGCCCTTTCCTCAGGGCCATCACTTGATCCAACCAGTCTGGACAGTTTTTGTCCAGTTTCCAACCTCTCCTTTTTAGGAAAGGTTGTGGAGAAAGCAATCACGTGGCAGCTTCAAAGGACCCTGGATGAAGTGGATTATCTGGACCCTTTTCAGTCAGGGTTCGGGCCAGGCTACAGGACTGAGACAGCATTGGTTGCGCTGGTAGAAGTGGGATGGGGGTAGTGCATCCATCCTTGCTTTTCTTGACCTCTTAGTGGCTTTCTGTGATGGAATGGACTTATGAAGGCCATGCTCAGGGAGATAAGCATGTTCTTAGCCCCCAGCAGGAGCGTGGGAAGTTCA